GTTATTTTACGGTGATAATCTTGTTTTCTTGTGCCCAATAATGCATAATTTCATTTGATAAACACGTTTAGTATTGAATGGTAATTTATAATCAGTCACAAGAACGTCGAATCTGAATCACTTGAAAAAAACACGGGGGTGCTTAACTTTTTTCCAGGTGTATAGATGTAGTGTAAGAGATGGAGAAGTAGCTCCTGTTAATATAGATGTAGTGTAGGAGATGGAAAAGTAGCTCCAGTTAATATAGATGTAGTGTAAGAGATGGAGAAGTAGCTCCAGTTAATATAGATGTAGTGTAAGAGATGGAGAAGTAGCTTCAGTTAGTATAGATGTAGTGTAAGGAACGAAGTAGTAGTTACAGTTGATATAGATGTAATTTAAGAGATGGAGAAGTAGCTCCAGTTGATGTGCATATAGTGTTGAAAGATAGAGAAGTAGAGATTAGAAACATTGCATAGTTGTGTTTGAAAGATTAACTGTTAGTTTTGACTTTCAGCTGGAGGCACCTCTCTTTGTAACTTGTTTCCAGTGTTTAGTAACAACATCACTGTGTGTTCTGATGAGTGCCTTATCCATCATGGCTCCATTCATCATTACATTTCCCAGGATACAAGTCAGTCTTGGAGTTTTGAAACAGGTATGACTAAAGTGATTTTTTCTGATTCTGCAGAATATTCTGCTATTTTTTTTATACGTGGAATAAACTGTTACAACATCATAATTGGAATAAGTTCTTTTTTTGTGATTTGTGTGTTAGGAATTTAACCATTTCTCCTTTTTTAACATGCATTTTATGTAAAAATGTATGAAATTAATGTGATTAAGAGAAATATTATTTGAACATTATTATGTAGGAATTCTGTCTTCCCTGACAGTGCCGCTTGTCAAATCAGGTTACCTGATTATACTTACCTGTCTGTTTTCATCTTAATTGTAGAAATAATTGATCTTATAACACCAAATTAATTGTTTAATTGGACACTCAACATTTTGCTTTACAGCTTCTTCAGAAATGTTCTATTAAAACACAAACCATAAGCTCCAAATGTTTTATATAAGAAATTCCAATCAGTTTCATAGCATTTAGTATTTCTTGTACAAATACTAAATTAAAGCTTTGTACTCTCACTTACAGTTTGTGTTTTAGTGAAATGATCCTGAAGGAGCTGTAAAGTAAAATAGTGAATGGCCAATTAAATAAAAGAACCTAAGTTTGGTGTTATAATGTTATTTACTTCTAGGATTAACACATCTTTTATATTCCAGTATGCAGTACAGAGATTGAATGTTTTCTTCTTTTTGGATCAGTTTCTCTGTTGATTCTCTTCTGCCTACTTGTGCTTCTTGTCAGATCAGGTTCTCTGTTTATACTTTCGTGTTGTATTATTTTTGTTGGATCAATTCACTTATTTCTACTCTCCAACCTTCTAGTGCTTCTTGTCAGATCAGGTTCTCTGTTTATACTTTCGTGTTGTATTATTTTTGTTGGATCAATTCATTTATTTCTACTCTCCCACCTTCTAGTGCTTCTTGTCAGATCAGGTTCTCTGGTTATACTTTCGTGTTGTATTATTTTTGTTGGATCAGTTCATTTATTTCTACTCTCCTGGCTACTAGTATTTCTTGTCAGGTCAGTTGTTTTGTTATACCTTCCTGCTATTTTCATTTGCTTGTATCAGTTTGTCTGTTGCTAATCTTGTGTCTGCTAGTGCTTTTTTTCAGATCAGGTTGTCTTATTATATTTTCTTGTTGGATCAGGTTGTCTTGATATATTTTCTTGTTGGATCAGGTTGACTATCATTACATTTTATGCTGCTACAGCTTCTTGTTGGATTAACTTTCTGTTGATAATTTCCTGCTTTTTAATGCTCTGTTTGGATTAAATTATTGTTATTTTCCTGTGTGCCAGTACTTTTTGCTGGATGAAGTTCTATGTTAATACTTGAATTACAACTTGGCAAACCAAAAAAGAACAAAAAAAAAACATTTTAATTATGAGACTCTTTGAACACAAAATGCACATTAATGCAACAGTAATGCAAAACTTGAGAAATCCTAGGTCATGTCAAATATAAATAACTAAGTCTGAGATCTTTAGGTTATTACTACGACATGTTATTTTTTTACTTTCAGAGGAAACCAATTTTGTCTTGGGGGTTTCTAAATGATTTAGTGTGATATTGTTGCAAATAAAAAAGGTTTGCTCACTCTACATGACATGTAACACAACCCAAAATTCTTAAGAAAATGTTGGTGAAATATGAAATTTATTCCTTGTGAATTTATAGGGTCAAACAACTAGATTATATTTATAGGGTCAAACTGATTATATTT